TCCAGAGCCTGTGCTCCGCAATGGGAGAGGCCACAACAGTGAGAGGCCCACGTACCGCAAAACAAACAAACAAACAAACAAACAAAAAAAACAAAAAAACCCTAAGACATCAGACTGCTTATCAAAGCAAAATTTAACTATATCTTATTTACAAGAAATACACTGTAAATACAAGAGTACAGGAAACACAAAAGTTAAGAGATGGAAGTAAGATACACCACAAAACATTAACTAAAAATAAGTTGGTTTATACAATATAATACTATTAACTATAGTCACCGTGTTGTACATTATATCCCCAGAACTTATTTACCTTATAACTGGAAGTTTGTACCTTTGACCATCTTCACCCATATTAACCCTCTCCCCCTTTCACCCCCACTTCTGGCAACCACAAATTTCTTCTCTGTTCCCATGAGTTTGGTTATTTCAGATTCCACATCTAAGTGTGCTAATACAGTAATTGTCTTTCTCTCTCTGACTTATTTCACTTAGCATAATGCCCTCAAGGTCCATCCATGTTGTTTCAAATGGCAGAATTTCCTTCTTTTTTATGGCTGAATAATATTCCACTGTATATATAACACAATTTCTTTATCCATTCATTCATTAGTGAACACAATCTTAAAAATTCTCATGACAAGAAAAAAATTGTAACTATGTGAGGTCATGCATGTTACCTAAACTTATTGTGGTAATCATTTCTCAGTATATACATATATCAAATCATTTTGTTGTACACCTTAAACTAATACAAAGTTATATGTCAATTATATCTCAATAAAACTGGGGAAAAAAGTGGGATTTAGCTGTTTTATTACCAGACAAAATAGACTTCAAAGTACAATGTATTACTGGATATACAGAGGATATATCATGATGATAAAATGTTAAACCCTTCTGGAAGTTTAAATAATCTTAAATTAGAACACACCTAATAAAACAACCTCAATATATATAAACAAAAATGGGCAGAATTAAAATGAGAAATAGACAAATCCACACTTCTAGTTGGAGATTATAATACTCATTCCTTAGCAACTGATGAAACAAGCAACAAAGAAAATCAGTCGAGATAGAGAAGATTTGAACAAAAAGACTAACAAACTTGACCTAATTGATATATTTAGAACAATGCACTCAACAGTTACAAAATATGCATTCTTTTCAAGTGCACAGAAATATTTACCAAAATTGGCATTAAGCAAATCTCATCAAATTTCAAAGAATGAAATCATACAGCACATGTTCTATGCACAATGAAAGTACTTAAGCTAGAAATCAATAATTAAAAGATAATAAACACTCTCAAAGTTTGGAAATTAAGTGGCACATTTCTAAACCACCCATGAGTCAAAGAAGAAATCATAATGGAAATCAGACAGTATTTTGAACTGAATGATAATGAACAAAATTTCAGAGAGGCAGCTAAAGCTGTGCCTAGATAGAAATTTAGAGCCTTAGAGCTTTCTAAAGGGAAGCCTGAAAAAAACCAATGAAACAACTACCCAGTGCAAGAAGTTAGAAAAAAAAACAGCTAATTAAACCCAAAGAAAGTATAGACATAATAGAGAAAAACCCAGAAATTAATAAAATAGAAAACAGACATATAATAGATAAAATCAACAAAGCCCCAAACTGGTCCTAGATAGACCTCTAGCAAGACTGACCAAGAAAATAAGAGAAAGGCCACAAATTACCCATATCAGAAATGAAAAAAGGAATACTACTGCAGATCCTACAGATATTGAAAGACAATAGAAGATATAAAAACAAATTTTTTGACAATTTACATGAAACAGACAAATTATTTCAAAAACATAAGTTATCAAAATTGATATAGAAGAAATAGTCATTTTCATATTTTCTTTAATGTTATTTAAAAACTCCCACAAAGAAAACTTAGGTCCAGAGGTTTTTAACTGTGAATTCTTCCAAATACCTAAGGAAGAAATAAAACCAATCTTACATAAACTCTTCCGGAGAATAGATACAGAGGTAAAACTTCCCAACTCATTTTACGAGGCTAGCATAATCCTGATACTAAAATCCCACAAGGAGATTATAAGAAAGGAAAATGATAGGCCAATATTCCTCATGAATTTAGATGCAAATATTTGAAAAAAAAAGTATTAGTAAATTGAATCTAGTGATATATGAAAAGAATACATCAAGACCAAGTTGGATTTACTCCAAGAATGCAAAGTTGGTTTAACATTTAAAAATCAATCAAAATAATTTACCATAGTTACAAAATAAAGCAGGGAAATTATGATTATCATGCAAAAGCACCTGATAAAATCCAATACCAGTTCGTGGTTCAAACTCTCATTGAAATAGAAAGAGAAGGTAACTTTAATCTGATAAAGTATATCTACAAAAAGTCCTATAGCAAAACCCATATTTAATGGTATTACATTAAAAATTTCCTAAGATTGGGAATGAGACATGGATGCCTGTTAGCACCACTTCTACTTAACACTGTACTGGGGATTTAGCCAATTCAATAAGAAAAGGGGAAAAAACCCCAAATAAGACAAAAGGTAAATTACATGAGCAGACTGGGCTCTGAGTAGATAAGAGGGGCAGATGGGTGGGGCAGGAAAATGAATTTAAGTTCAATTTCAACTTCAAATTGTAAAGCACTAGACCTTAACTTCACACCTTTTAAGCTTCTCTCATCCTCCCTACAAACCTGTAGGCTAGATAAAGCAGGTATTATTTACCTCTAATTTGCAGATGACATACTAAGGCTCAGAGAAGTAAACTGATTAGTCTAAGTCTCTCTTTAAGAAGCAAAAGCAATATGCGACTGACCCAGGAAGTGGGAGTTCAAATCTAAGTTTCTTTTCAATATGCTAAGCTTTCTCACAGAAAGGGAGCTAGAAAAGTCCAAAGGGAAATTTTGTCCAGAGCTTATTACTGGGTCTCCCAAACTTAAATAAAGTTGCCACTGAATTCATCATCTAGTTTCTTTTTCTTCCATAGCTAAGAATTTGGGAACATAGTAGGCTGAAATGATATAGACAGGTCCCCTCTGACTTCAAACTCATAGAAATGTCATAAAAATATTTGTTAAAAATAAAAAGGACACACTTAAGAAAAAAAAAAAAAGGAAATTCCCCAGATGCTAGAAATGAAGGAAAAACTTAAAGAGTATGAAATGCGAGCTGACCCAGATTCAGATATAACTTCAGGGGTTGGTCCCCAAAGTTTTAGTGCCCAGCCAAGAACAGGGGTCTGTTTTCCAGCTTTTAAGGCAAGAGTATATGTGGGTGAGTGACAAGGAACAGATTCCCTTCTTGAAATGTGGACCCTTGATGAGCATCCCAGTCAGTGAAAGAGAGTAGGAAAAACTCTGTCCACTGGCTCAGGAAAGCAGGAAAAACTTTCTGTCAGGGACCTTGTAGAAAGTAGATGAAAGATCCACAAAAAATGGAAACCACAATCAGATGCTGGGGGGAATTTACATTATCAAGATTGCATGGAAATTCCAAGCTGAGAAATTACAAGGATCACTGAAATCGCTAGGGCTCTGGCAGCAACAGAAATGAAAGGCACTGTACTCTCACAACACAGCATACAAGACTTCAAAAGGGAAGAGGAGAAAAAAAATTCTGTTGAAGATGTGGTCATCTTCAAGAATTACAAACCATACAAGAGGTACATTTCCATGAGGTAGAGTCTGCATATATAGCAAGTAGGACATCTGTCACCCACCCAGAAAAAAAATAGAACAAGCCAAAAGAAACCATAAAATATTATGTTGAATATGATTAAAATAAAAAGTAAAATATAATGAAAGATCAGAATATTTTGAAAAATTCTGACATTTGAAAAAGAACCGAAAGGAACATCTGGAAATTAGAAGTTACAGTTACTGAAATAAAAAACTGAGTGGATTTATTAAAAAACAGATTAGACATAGTTGAAGAGATTCTTAGTTAACTGGAAGGCAGATATGAGTACATCATCCAGAATGCACCACGGAGAAACAAACAATAGAAAACATGAAAGTGCAATTAAAAGATGTGGAGGACAAAAATCCAATAGAAGTTCAAAAGAAGAAGATAGAAGGAAAGAGGTAAGGCAAACAGATAATGGCTAAAAATTTTGAAAAATGAAGATATATACGAGGCGTACAACTTCTGAGTAGGATGACTAAAAACTAATCCACCCCTAGATGTAGGTTAGCAAAACTACAGAACATCAAAGATTATAAAAATTTTTTTTTTTCTAAAGCAACTAGAGAGAAGAAATTACCTTAAAAAGGAATACCACTTAGGCTGACAGAGGATTTCTAATCAGTGGCAATATACATCGCAGACTGTGGAACAACAGGTTCAAGGAACTGAAGGAAAATAACTGTCAATCTAGCTAACTGCTATTTCCTCCTTATTTATTTCTTAACTCAATGGAGAGAGGTATGCTAGTACAAGAGAGGCCTGGACAGGAATAGCTGGAATTAGCAAGACCAAAATATCTGGGAAGATAGTTAATTCAGTGGAAACTGCACTTGGGTTTCCTAAATGTGATGTGGAACAGATGACCTAGATATAAGGCTCCAGAAGCTTTTGCCTTTACACTATATTTCTAGCCAAAAGTTGGCTGTCTTAGTGGGAAAGGCTCAAGCAGAATGATTTATGGAGCATGTTAAGTGAACTCTAGATATACAGTATAGTAATTAAAAGTGAAGTCTCTGGAATCAGACTAATTAGGATGAAATCTTGACTCTGCTTCTTATGAACTGAATGAATTTGATCAAATTACTTTACTTCTCTATGCCTTAATTTTTGTAGCTATATCTTACAGTTTAAAAAAGACTAAGTAAGCAAAGACATGTAAAACATTGGGCATAGTATCTAGCACAAAGTAGGTGTTTAATAAAACCCAGCTATTATTATTACTTAGTCTTGACTACAGGGCTGTAATTGGATCATGAATTTGAAGGAGTGACCTTTAATATGGCACTGAAAAACTAAAATATAAGAAACACATACCCTGACATCTACTGAGCAGCCCACAGTCCATGACGGATTTCCCAGCACTTGATTTTGGCACAGGAGATGAACTAGGGAAGATTTCCCAACACCTGTAAAAGATACAAGAACTCTAGTCATTTAAAAGACATGCTGAAATATATTATGGCAAAAGTAAGACTGAGAATAAGCAGTAATAATGATATATAAAGCATGGTTGTTTAAAGGGTGTTCATACCATACCAATGATTTAATAAGCTTCACTGATAAAGAGAAGATGGTTAAGGACACTGGTTCTCTCAAATTTAGCATCAGAATCCTCTGGAGGGTTTGTTAAAACACAGAATGCTGGGTCCTGTCCCCAGAGTTTCCAATTTGACAGGTCTGTCATGGAACCCAAAGATTTTGCACTTCTAACATATTCCCAGGTGATGTTGATGCTATGGATCCAGGGAACTCACTTTGAGAACTACTGGTCCAGGGCAATTTCAAATAAACTAATCCCTTTCCTTTGGACGGATTTCATCTATTCAGCCTATTTTAGAATTGTAGAATCTTAACATATCTTAGAGGTAATCTCCTCTATCCTGACCACCAATGCAGAGGCCCCTTCCACAGACCCTGTTAGATCGTCTTTCAGATTATGCTTGAACACTATCAGTGACAGGGATTCACCATTTCACAATTCCATATTTAGATATTCCAGTTCTCCCATACAGTGATTTTTAGAAAGCAGTCAACCACTTGGCCCAGACTTATCTTTTGGAAAAGGAGAACAACTCTTCTTCTTCTTCTTCTACATCATGGCCCTTTAACTTCATAGACAGCACTTGTCTTTTCTTTTTATTGAAGTGTAGTTGACATACAATATTACGTTAGTTTCAGGTGTTCAACCCTTAAATACATTACAAAATGATCGCCACAATAAGTCTGGTAACCATCTGTCCCCATGCAAAGCTATTACAGTACCACTGGTGATATTCCCTATGCTGTACAGTACATCCCTGTGACTTATGTATAATTGGAAGTTTGTACCTCAATTCCCTGCACCTATTTCACCCCTCTCCCCACCTCTCCTTTCTAGCAACCACCAGTTTGTTCTCTGTATGAGTCTGTTTCATTTTGTTTGTTCATTTTTTTTTTTAGATTCTACATATAAGTGAGATCATACAGTATTTGTCTTTCTGACTTATTTCATTTAGCATAACACCTTCTAAATCCATTCATGTTGTCGCAAATGGCAAGATTTCATTCTTTCTATGGCTAATAGTCCACCTGTATGTGTATATATACACATATTTTCTTTATCCATTCATCTATTGTGGACACTGAGGTTGCTTTCATATCTTGGCTACTATAAATAATGCTGCAATAAACATAGGGGTGCATACATCTTTTCGAATTAGTCTTTTTGTTTTCTTCAGGTAAATACCCAGAAGTGGAACTGCTGGATCATACAGTAATTCTATTTTTAATTTTTTGAGAAGCTTCCATATTGTTATCCACAGTGGCTGCACCAATTTACAATTCCACTGACAGTACATGAGGGTTCCCTTTTCTCCACATCTTCGACGACACTTGTTATTTGTTGTCTTTTTGATGAGTTATTCTGACAGGTGTGAGATGATATCTCATTGTGGTTTTGATGTGCATTTCCCTGATGATTAGAGATGCTGACCATCTTTTCACGTGTATGTCTTCTTTGGAAAAATGTCTATTAAGGTACTCTGCCTATTTTTTAATTGGATTGTTTTTTGATATTGAGTTGTATGGGTTCTTTATATATTCTGGATAGCCCCTTATCAGATATGTTGCTTGCAAATATCTTCTCCCATTCAGTAGGACAGCACTTTCTTTTCTTATAGATCTCCTGGGTTTAGGATAATCTAATTACTAATGCTAGGGCTAGTATTCTGAGATCTGTAGGAAGAGGAAAGGGAATGAGCTATCACTGTACATTTATGTGTAGAGTTACTCATTCAATTAACATATCTGGGATGCCATTATAACAAGCATTGTTGGTGAATCTTTATGCGTCACTAGTTGTTATCAAAAATTTAGCCGACCTCTTTGTGTGCATTACTGTGCATGGATCTATCACTTTTTATTATAAAGTTTTATTTACAGTCTATCTAGAAAGTACAGAAAAAAAGAAGAAAATAAATCACCCAAAGAGCACTACTGTCAATAATGTAGATTTAAATTCATAAGCAGAGCTTTTCTATAAGCAGGTTGTTATTGTGAATATATTACACAGTATACTTAAAAACAATGAAACATAGCCTTTGCTTACACAGCTGGTTTTGTCTGAAATATCCTACACATCCTCTCCTTCCATTTTCCCTCTCATTGGCCTGGTGAATTAATCTTTCAAGACTCAGCATCATTCTAGATATAAAGTCTTCTCTTACTCCATACAGGTAGAACTAAGCACATCACCCACCATCCTCTGCATCTCCACTGTACACTGTACATTTTTCTAGAGCACTTAAAATACACTATTACACTTGCTTGTTTATAGAGTTTACTCACTCTGCTTGATTTTAAGTTCTTTGAGGCCTGGGACTGGGTTTTACTCATTTTTTATTTCCAGTACTCAGAGAGGGCCTTAATTAGTACTTATTTAGTGGCTAAAAATTTCCATGTTATTACAGAATCTTCATAAATATTTTTAATGTCTCCATAGTAGTTCAGAGAAGAGACATAATGATTTATGTAACCATTTTCTCATTATTAGATATTAGGGTGCTTTGAACTTTTCATTATGCTAAGAAAAGATTTCTGTTTACACTTTTGTTTAAAATTAAAATTATTTTATTAGTATACCTTCCCAGAAGTGAAATTAATATGTAAACCGAAATCAACATTGAAAGTTCTTGATATACATTGACAACGTTTATCTGGTTACTATGCCACCCGCCATACACATAAGCCTGCAGGTCTTGTTGCACCTCAACAGTATGTAGTTGCCTTTTCATCTTTGTTAGCTTATAAGAGAAAAAAAAGTGACATGTTGCTTTAGTCTGCATTTCTTTACCTTCTGGTAAAGATACACATTATGTTCATCTTTGCTAACCAGTTGTTTTTCCTCTCTTATGAATTATCTATTGATGTGCTCCGCCCATTTATCTACTAGGTTTTACTGTTGTCAATTTACATGACCTCTTCATATACTAGTTGCTCATGTAATTGAACCAAACATTTCCCCAGATTTCCCTTTCATTCCTTTTATTTTTTTACATACAGGCACGTAAGGTTTTTGACTACTCAAAGTGAGCTTTGTATTTTATTTACTGCATTGCATCTGATATCTACGGCCTTTAGGGCATATTGTTGATTTTTGTGTTTGCATGTAGGTTTGTTTATGTTGGAGGAATATAACTAGGCATTTAGTTATCAGCTTGATACAAGTCTTGAAATTCTAGTTAAGCTTAACTGTGTCAGAGTAAACAGCTCTATGTAATAATATTGTATAGCTCTCCATGAATTAACTGCATTGGGTGATAAGAGTTAGCTAACATGGGATGAACGTTAAACAGTAAGAACAACAGAAGTGCCAAGAATAGTGGTTAACTTTAAGAATTTTGGAAAATTCTGATTCTATGTTTTCATCATTAGAACTTAGATCAAAAGAATGCACTTGATTTGCTGGGGAAAAAAAGTTCAATATAATCAAATAAATGCCAGCTCCAAACAGAGCTGGTAATGTATTAAGCCCATCCCTTACATATGAAGGAACAAAGAGAAAAGAGTATGTGCATGTTAGAGAGACTTTCAGGATTCCTTACTAAATTATCAAATATCTCTATGGGATACAAACAAATTTCTAAATCCCTAGTCATTCCTTTATATATTTGCAAAATCCTCAAAATTTCACAGGGGAAATGAGCCTTTATTCAAAAGTAAACTTTGAAGTTTAAATACAAAGGCAGATGAAATGTAAAAAGTATATTCTAACTTGTAAGACAGCAAATCATTGTTAAAAGGGAACTGATAAAAAGACAATAACTGACTTTGCACATATAGCCTAACATCAGTGAATGTGTGACAAGATCAATCACTTTCCTGGTGGGCATAGCTCTGTCTTCTGTTTTACAACTAAACTATAATAATAATTTTAAAAGGCTTACTAACTGCCTGATCACTTTTTCGCATTTAATACAGCAGCCAATTCAATGCTGTTGTGTAATGCATTGATTCCACAGTTATATCCCCAGCACCTAATTCAGCATTTGCCATGTATTATAATAGGGAAATAATTTTTTTGGGAAAAAAATAAATCGATTAGTTTGAACAAGATGTAACATGAAGCGATTGTTAGATACAACAGAAAGGTAATTATAAATGAGAGAAAGCACCCACTTCACATATCATGAAGAACTGTGTTAGCTCTGGATTCTTCTAAATCCTACTTGGTGATACTCTTACGAAGCCCATTTAGACCACTGTTGCTTTCTTTATCTGTAAAACTGAGTGCTTTTATTAAATTAACTTCAGCACCACTTCATGCTAAAGTTGACATAAATTGGATTATGTTCATAGAATTTCATAATGCAACTTTCTGAAGGGAATATTAAATAATGCTCTCTGTAAAATACTTTGCAATGCAAATAATCTTCAGGCAATGTGAAAATGTTCTCAACCTCCTCCCCCCACCAATTTTATTCAGTTTGGTAAGGCTAGTTTTCAAGCTCTTTGGGGTATGTCCTCTCCACCTCCAAGCATCTGACACAACGTCTTTGCTCAAGCAGACATCCAAAGGTCAACTCCAGAAAAGCACATCTATGAAATGCAAGGTTAAGTTCTTAAGTTCCAAGTTCTTAAGAAGCTTAGGAGTGGAGGGTATGAGAAACAAGATAGTGAAGGGGAGATAGAAACACAGACTTCAACTCCTGTTCTCAAGCGTCCAAGGTAAGAATTTTAACACTAGGATTAAACTGGGCTCAGCATTAAGTCCTAGCTGCTTCATAAAATGGCCCTTATCTTATTTTTTCTATTTCTTCCAGCCTAGCACATAACAGTTTTTCAATTAAGATTAAAGAGAACAAAGAAAAAAGAAGCGCAGTTGAGACTAAAACAGGTCTACCACCTGATACTTCACGAAATAATATGGGTTAGTGTTCTAAGTATGTGGACTCCCGGCTCAAACTAGTTCTGTCATTTACATCTCTTTAAAAGAGATTTGTCATTTGTGAAATGGGATAATAGGACTGATCTCAGGATTAAATGAGTTAACATATGCAAAGCACTTGGAACAGTGTCATTCTTATTAGTGCACATTTGATTTCTTTAATTAACAAAATCTATTAAAGGCAAGGTCCGAACTTCTGTCTCAGCACGGCGCCCAGTACAACACTCAACCTCCGCAGATCTTTTAAAACAAAGGATCACTAGGCTTCGGTCGCCCTGGAAACCGACGTAGAAACCAGCGAAAACAGAGAAAGGCCCCGGCTCCGCGCCCCCCACCCGTGCGATGCCGCCGCTCCGTTAAATTGAGCAAAGTCCTCTGGGAAGTGTAGTCTTTAGGCCTTGAGAGGGAATTCAGCCACGGGCCGGAGTCAGTTAGTCGGTGTGTGTGTAAAGGGAGAGTGAAAGGGGAGGATTTTCGGATAACTCAAAAGTGTCGGGAGCCCCAGAGGTGGGTTAAGCGGCTCACCTGAGTCTCCCAACACCAGTACCTTCACCCGATCCAGGGACGCCATCTTGCCACTGCCTTCCTGAGGTTAACGCCTATTCCGGGATTATAGGCCAATCAGAGCTGGGATTGGAAGGCGGAGTCTTCAATGTCATTGGCCAATAGGAGCGTGACTGTCTTGATTGAAGGCCTCACTGTGCTGATTGGCCCGCCTAGTTAAAAGTAGCGGGTGGTTTCTAAAGCTGGTCGCAGGAATAGGGCGTTCTCCTTGTCGCACAAGTGGCGTGGCTCGTTTAAACCAGTAGTTGAGGCGCTGAGGGAAGCTGTAGTGGGAGTGTTCGAGGATTCGCTTTGGTAAACCTTGTTCCCTGTTCCTTGTTCTCGGTTCCCTGGCCCGGCGCCGCCTTTCAGGGTGTCCTCTCCTTTTCGCTCCTTTCTCCATAGCTAGCCTCCTCCCCCTTAGCTGCTCTCTTGACCCGCTTCTCTTCTTGGTTTCCAAAGAACTATTGACCCGGAGCGGCCCATGTGCGACCTCGGGTAGGACGGGCTTGGCTGCGCCGAGTGTGGCCTCTGGACTCAGCTGGTAGAGTCCGAGCGGATCTCGGGGTGTCACAGTTGGGAGGAGGTAAACATTACCGGGCTCGTGGAGGCCAGCTTGTCCGGAGGTTTCGCGGTGATATGCCACTGTGTGTATGAAGGCGTGGAGAGTACCGTGAAATATGGTAGCCGAGAAAGCCAGTTGGTTGTGTAGAATCCAAGTTCTTCTGGAACTGGAATAGAAGTATACTGAAATAATCTGACAGGACTCCCCACATCCACTCTTTCCTTCTTTTACACGCTGCAGTCAGCATAATCCTTTACAATCACGAATTTGATGCTTTTACCTCCTTAAAACCGTTTGAAGTTTAAGAAGAGGGTTTCCAATACCCTATCTTTGTACTCTGGAAGCTGCAGTGGAGGAAGTGAATTGGGGGGAAGCTGGCAGGGTGGGCATGTTTGAAGAAAAGGTGCTTTACGAGACCTATTGAAAGTTTTATGGAAGTACTAGACCAGCTGTGCTGCACGTTGGAAAGTCAGTGGTGAACAAGATTAGTCTCCTGGTCTCCGAGGTAGACATGGAGAAAGTATAAGTCTATTCACTGCAGCGAAGAAGGGGAAAGAACCATGGGAACATGTGAAGGGGGGGGGGATCATTCTGAGCCACTAAGGGAAGTCTGAGAAGGTGCCTCTGAGAAAATGTCATTTGAGACGTGAAGGATGATTAGGAGAAGGGACTTTGGGCTTAGCTGTGGGAGCAGAGAAAACAGCATGTGCAAAGGCCTGGAAGTAGGGAACGCATGTGTGGCTCACAGAATTGAGAGAATGCCAGTGTGGCCGGAGATGAAGCTGAGGAGGGTAGACCAAGCACAGAGAATGCATTCATTTCAACTTTGTTTCTCCAACTCTGTTGCCCGGTGTTTGTATGATTAGAATACATAGGGTTCAAAAGCAAAACCAACTTGCCTTTGGGGGTCTGGGCTGTAGGGTGGTAGGTGAGGCTGGGAGGTGACTGATAGATTCTGAGGCTAAGAAGAAGCAACAAGGCCTGGCCCCCAGAGGTCACACACTGAAAAGTCTCCAGAGGCCAGCCAAGCTCCTTCCCTGTTTAAAAATGTCAGCTGCTCTTTAGCTAATTGTTTTCATGTGGGAACATGGTCTCATTTTTTTTTTTTTTTTTTTCCGCAGATATTTGCAGTTCTCAAGAGGGCCTGAAAAAATTGAAATTGATGTGAAATCTCATGATTTTTAATGTTAACCGCAAATTCAGAAAATTTTCAAAACATTCTTTGAGTCAAACGATGTGGCACAGGCTACCAGTTTGAGACCTCTCATCTCAGTATTATGAAATCCAGAGATTGAGGAGATTCGGCATAATTGGGGGAGTAGAGGCAGTGAAGGAGAGAACACAATGTTCAGGAAGGAGGATTTTAGAGTGTAGAGATTTTGAACAAGGTGGCACAGCATGACTTCTTTGCTGAGTTCCAGTTTCATTTGTTCAGCCACCTGCAGGACATCTTCACAGTAATATTCTGTGTTATTTCCTCAAAGACAAGCAACTAAAACTGAATGAATGCCTCGTTTCTTCCAAACCTGTTCCTCTTCAGGTGTTAACCTGTTTCTCATAGTAGTACTTTTCTAGTTACACTGGTTTAAAACAAATAGCTATATGTTATTGTTTAATAGGTATAATGTTTCAGTTTTACAAGGTGAAAAGAGTTGTGGAAGTGGTTGGTGGTGATAGTTGGTTAGCATTATGAATGTATTTAACATTACTGAACTGTCTGCTTAATAATACTTAATCGGTAAATTTTATGTTATGTATATTTTATCCCAATAAAAATTTGGGAAAAACCCCCAAATAGCTATTTAAAATTTTTCTACTCTGTAACTCCATTTCCAATATATTATTGGGTCCTTTTGATTTTGTTTCTCTAATAAGTTTCATTCATCCTGTCTTCTTGTAATTTTTTCTTGTCTTTCGTAGTTTAGGTTTGATTACTATCACTCTTAATGTTTCCACAGTGCCTCCATTTTCACTTACTTCAGCCCATTTCTCAAATTGTTGTAAGAGTCACTTTTCTAAGTAGGGAGTCTTGTTATGTATGCCAGTACTTAATGGAACTCTTACGATGCCAGCCTTGAAAGTCAAACACTTTACATGAATTATCTCATTTAATCTCATACATCAACTCTATGAGGAAGGCACTGTTAATCTGATGAAACTGAAGCTGAGAACTTTCCAGGTTCACAGGCTAAGAAATGGTGGAACTGGGATTCAAAACCTAAAACTATTGGACTGCAGAGTCCTCATGTCACTCCCTTTCTCAAATCTTTAGGGCCCCCTAGGGTGTTTCAGGCAAAGGTAACAAGCTGAATGATGTGGCACAGGGCCCTCCCCATGCAGGATGTGCTTTGGCCAGGTATGTAATAGTCAGGTACCCAGTTTGTTGGTAACAGTGGTCAGGGACTTATTCTGTATATTAGAGTCACTTAAGGAGCTTTAAAAATTAGTGTGATGCCTAATCTGACCTGCCCAGACCAGCTGAAACAGAATCTCTGGGAATGGGGCCCAGGGTGGGTATTTTTAAATGCTCCCCAGATGATTCTGCTTTACAGCCAGGGTTGAGAACCATTGGCCTGGAAAATGGAGTATATGGGCTGGAAGGTCAGGGAGGGGAGTACGATAGTAGGAAATAATACTGGAAAAGTAGGTTATTTTGACATTTGTCTACCATCCTTTGGTCTGTTTCCAAAGCCACATATTGTGTTCTGCCAACTGTTGACCATGTAAAACAAAACAAAGCAAAAACCCAAAAACTAGGTCCAAGTTCAATGTATAGGCCAAATTGGAAAGAATAAAATGCACATGGCAGTGTGTTATACTACTACTTTGGTGTTGAACCCAGGCACTTGCTTGGCATCCTTAAGCCTTGGGATGACAGGAAGGCTCTAGGACCACAGGTTTGGACCTAGGTGCTCCTTTGTTATCTCTTATATATAGTCATGCCTGAGTATTCACAATCCAAAATATAACTGACTTTCCTTTTATTTTTCCTTTATTAAAGGTAGGGTATTATAACCACCCTCCCCCCACCATATGTGTATTCATTGGTTATTTAGGAATATCTTTTTAGAATAGTACTGTGGATATAACACTGTTTCTTATAAAATAGGGTGATAGGGTTGATAACTACTGATTTTAAATAAAAGATTCAGTAGAAACTAGTACTAATAACACTATGATTCCCTATGGAAATAATTCAGTAGGCTGTTAAAAATTTCCTTATAGTGTAGGGAAATTTCATTTGATGTAGTCTGTATGATATAGTCTGTGTGCCTGGCCGTTTTTAGTTTGAGATGTATTAAATTGATATAGATGGTGTCTTTATTAACAGGTGCTTCCTAAGCACATTACATTCTCATTTATTCATCACAACAACCTCATTGAAGTAGTTGACATTATCCTTATTTCTCAGAGAGTGAAGTGTGGCTTGAAGTTGTTAAGGGATTTGCTCAGGATCACACAGCCAGTAAAACAAGGCTATCTGACTCTAATTCCAAATCCGAGGCTTTTTAACAACCACATGAAAGTCTAGCCCATGCCAGTTTGGGCTTCTAGAAGACAGCTTTCTGGGTACAGTTAGCTTCTACTTGTCCTGCAGGGGATCCAGTATTTAAGGATATCTTGGTGTTTGTTGTTACTGTTTTTTAGAACCGTATAGCATTTGCTTACTTGGTCATTTATCTTTTCAAGGTTGGTAAAGCTGTCTGGATATAATTGTTAATTTCTTTCAGATTTATAACAGTAATTTTGCCAAACATCCCAGCTGGTGATTACTTAGGCATTTATTGGTTTGTTGTGATTTTATTGTGAGAGCATGACTATGTAAAACATCCTAGAATCTATCTTGGTAGAAAATTTTTACTCAAGAAAAGAAATAAAGGCACTTAAAAAAATAGGCTAACTGCTAAGTTTCTCAGGGTTTTTTTTTTTTTTCCCAGCATTCCCAAAGATCTGTAGCATTAAGAATAATGAGACTTCGTTTAGATTTTTGAGTTTCTCTTTCTGAAATAAAGTGAGCTTGATATAGTATATCATTGCTATAAGTAATGTTAATTTTTGGAATTAAACACACAGTAGGTCATGAAAGTAACCATTTAAGAAATATGTCAAGCTTTTAAGGTGTAATCTTTTGTGTACTCTAGAGGAAAGTTTTGTTCTCTGTTAAATGCTTAGCATTATAAGTCTTTTAAAAACAATGTTGTAAGTACCTTTGTGGCACTCCAAGAATAGCGATTACCAACTACCTAATGGGTTGATTATTCTAGATTTAAAATGATTACTTTGTCCTTATGCCTAGCTAATTTTCTCTTTTTTTTCCTGAATTCAGTACATTTAAAGTTGAAGTTTGCTGCTAAAGATGGCAGATCCAGATGTCCTCACCGAGGTTCCTGCAGCATTGAAGCGGTTAGCCAAGTATGTGATCCGGGGGTTTTATGGCATTGAGCATGCTTTGGCCTTGGACATCTTGATCCGAAACCCCTGTGTGAAAGAGGAGGACATGCTGGAGCTGCTCAAGTTTGATCGGAAGCAACTTCGATCAGTCTTGAATAATTTAAAGGGAGACAAATTCATCAAGTGCAGAATGAGGGTAGAGACTGCTGCAGATGGGAAAACCACTCGCCACAACTACTACTTTATCAATTATCGTACTCTTGTTAATGTGGTAAAATATAAATTGGACCACATGAGAAGGAGGATTGAAACTGATGAGAGAGATTCCACCAACCGGGCTTCCTTCAAATGTCCTGTCTGTAGTAGTACTTTTACAGATTTAGAAGCTAATCAGCTCTTTGATCCCATGACAGGTGAGATTGTTCCAGTTTATGAATCTTTCAAGTAACTTTTTAAAGTATGTAACCTTTTTCTTAAGTTGATTCATCTAGTTTTTAAACTGATCATATATATCATTATAAAATGGATATATTGGTGCAAGTAAGCATACAGTCATTCTTAGTCTTAATGTCCTGTTTGACTATCATACTACTTTTAGAAGCTGTTGCAAAGCCTTTCTCCTTTACAAGGGAGCACTCATCCATGGACTGTTCTTTTACCCATAGTCCTCTACCTCTGTTTCTACCCCCATCCCTTATTTACAACTGCAGCCTAATCTAAAGGGTTGACTTTCTCTACCACTTTGAGGCTATTCTGACTTTACTAAGTTTACTTTTGAACTGTTCATTCAACAAATACTTGAGTACCTACTTGTGCCAGTCACTGCCAGACAGTTATAATAAATACGTATTATTAGAACTTAAATGCTTTGTTAGTGGAAGTGCAAAGTGCTATCAGGAGGGCATAACTAGGGCATCTAATGTGGATTTGGGGGGGCCTCTCAAAGAAGTTTAAACAGTGGGGACCTAAAAAATAAGTAAAAGTTAGCCAGATGAAATAAGAGGGGCACTTTTTCCAAGTTAACAATAGATATTTAGTTTCTTAGCCATTCATTAATGGAAGCGAATCATCAACAGGAGTTATAAATTGCTTCATTTAATTAAATACTTTAGTTTTAAGGATTTTTCTAATCAACACAGAATCTACAAAGCATGTTTTTTCTAAAAATACATGTCTAACATTAACATGGGACACTTTAAAGTGCTAGGTTGTATAGTTATGTTGTTATTTGTAAACTGGAAAAGAGACTATAGTTTTACTAATTACTCAAGTGGATCAATTTTGTGTTAAAAATTTGTAAAAATCTATAGAAAGAATCACAGCTGTTAAGTTAGATTGTCCCTTTGTTATGGCTGAATTCAGGAGTATAGGTTACTTTTTAGTTCATAGATCTGACTTTAAAATAACTATCTGAAAAATATAATTTAAGCTTTTACACATGAAATGTTTTATTATAAAAAAATTACAGGTTTGTGTACATGTTTAATTTTGTATATGTTATATATTGTACATTTTAAAGAATTAAAAAAAATTTTAATGGGAAATAATGCTGATATCAATTAAGATTATTCACAAAAAGAGCAGTGATGGCCTATGACTTTTTTTTTTTCCCTTATTTACTGTGAAGCAGTCATCTTGGATGAAAATTCATTTAAAGAATTCACATTTGTCTTAAATGTTTAATTTGTCTGAACCTATTTACCTTGAAAGGGCTTAACTAGGAGAGGTCTTGGTTATGACAAAATCTTAGCCATCCTGAGTATAAGAATTGCTTGAGTGTACTATAGAGGAGGGTTGTAGACTATATCTGGAGCTCTTTCAAAATAGACTAGAAAAGTCTCATGATTTTTGCTATTCACTCTAACAGATTTCTTTAAGGAGCTCTGGGTTTTGGTTTTTGATTTTCTGCAGATGTTGGTGTTACAGTGGTCGTCCTCGTTACTCTTGACTGCAGTGAAGGTGTTATCCAGTCCCTCAGAGAGGGTAATCTAAAGGAATATGCTTCTACTACATTTACGTATCACTTGATTCTTATTTAATTTCCAGTCCCTCAGAGAGGGTAATCGAAAGTAATATGCTTCTACTACATTTACGCATCACTTAATTCTTATTTAATTTCATGAAAGTTTCTAAAAGGAAGTTATCCCATTACTTATATATCAGTATCTAGGAGTTCGATTCATGATGCTCTTCGAATTTTACCTAGGGTTTGTGTCTGAATGAAATTAGTTGTAATCAACAGGTGGCTTGTGGAAGAGATGGCCTGACCAAATATAGTCAAGATTATTTGTGTGAGGGAATTGAGGTAGGGTAGGGAGCATGAAAACATATTATGCAAGAGAGCTAAAACTGAAACAGTTGTTTTGTGGCCAGTCTGAACAGAGACTGTTTTCTTAATATGAGGGTTACGGTCAACATGATGGTGGAAAGAAGGGGTTCAGGAGAGCAAGAATAAGTCACTTTACATTGGTATCGCTCATGGGAGGATGCCCTGATCAGCCAGCACTAATAGTCAACTTAATTGGCAGTTACGTCTCAGTGAAGCCTGAGATACCATGATTGAAAATTCTTAATTATTGGGAACACTCTTTATGAGAATATACTTGCCTTTTGATTATAATTTGGTTTTTCATTTGGACTTTCCTTTACAGAGAGAATATGATAATTGGGTGATATTAGACCCCCCAACCTCCTTGTCAGTCTGGTTTTGTTTTGTTTTTCCACTATTAGTACCTTGACAACCCTCCCTTGTTCTTCTATACATTCCCTTTAGAAATCTTGGTCTTTTTCCCTCTGTTCCCTTCCTGTTTTGCTCAGTATTCATTGCTCTCCCCGTCATTTTGAAGAAGACGAGAAATAAACATTTGGTATATGTATCAGAAGAGGAGGAGGGAAGTTTTTCTGCTGTAATATTTATTCTCTCTTTAAATTAATAGTTACAGTTTTCATTTGAAGCCAGTGCTGTACAAAGCTGTTCTATTTCTTGGTTGCTATTGGAGATTGATGGTGTTTCTGACCAGTGACGGAGGTATCTAATGGGCTTCTATCTCCATTCCAATGTCAACAGTTGTTAGGTTTCTAAACTCTGGTTTATATTAGCAATTGGGGGTATTTAGGAATTAGATTTGAAGCCTTCTAGGCTTTACTTCTTCCCTGATAAAAAGTTCTTAACTCAAGTATATGGGCAACTCTGCCACTGGACAGAGAGTAGTGACTCCTAGATGAGTATCCAGGAATTCTGGGCTCAGGAAATTGGGTCCAGCAAGAATTGTTTTACCGGCATTAATTCACACATAAACCAGCAATTTTCTTACTTCAGTTTATAGCTTTTCCCTCCCCCGCCTCTCTTTTTCCTGAAAATTGTAGATTCTTTCCATACTTTCCATTTAGATTTTGCCTTTGGTGTTCTGGGGTTGAACTCTCCCAATGTTTGATGCTTAATATGTATAGCTAATTTTATTTTATTTTTAACATCTTTATTGTAATTGCTTTACAATTGTGTGTTAGTTTCTGCTTTATAACAAAGTGAATCAGCTCTACATATACATATATCCCCAAATCTCCTCCCTCTTGCGTCTCCCTCCCACCCTCCCTATCCCACCCCTCTAGGTGGACACAAAGCACCGAGCTGATCCCCTGTGCTATGCTGATCCCCTGTGCTATGCGGCTGCTTTCCACTAGCTGTTTTACATTTGGTAGTGTATATATGTCCATGCCACTCTTTCACTTAGTCCCAGCTTACCCTTCCCCCTCCCCATGTCCTCAAGTCCATTCTCTACGTCTGTGTCTTTATACCTGTCCTGCCCCTAGGTTCTTCAGAACCTTTTTTTTTTTTTGATTCCATATATATGTGTTAGCATACGGTATTTGTTTTTCTCTTTCTAACTTACTTCACTCTTTATGACAGTCTCTAGGTCCATCTACCTGCTAATTTTATTAAAATGGAAGAGCCTAGCTTTTGCCCACTAGTCCCTGGTTTCAGAAACTTAATCAGGCAAAATCAGCTGTTTTATTTTCTGAAATATGGGGGTCTTATGTAATCAGAACAAAGGTAGCATGGCATGAAATCTATCAATCAGCAAAATAGCATCTTGTGGTTCATAAATGCATGTTTTAGATTTAGCAAGGCTCTGACCGTGTGAAGAGACTTAGCATTTCTACTTTAGCAATCTCAACCACAGTGATTTCATTAATGACACTTCTGAGTTAAATTCAGCAACATGCTTCCCCAAAAGGGAGGGGGAGATTGTATTTTCTTTTTTTTTTTTTTTTGTGGTACGCAGGCCTCTCACTGCTGCGGGCCCAGCCGCTCCGCGGCATGCGGGATCCTCCCGGACTGGGGCACGAACCCGCGTCTCCTGCATCGGCAGGTGGACTCTCAACCACTGCGCCACCAGGGAAGCCCTGTATTTTCTTTTTAGGTGTTAAAGTTAGATGATATGGAAATAGCTTTATATTTTCCATTTTTAATTTAAAAATTATGTAACCATGGTGCCAGAAAAAATTTTGAATAGAAAAAATTACGACAAAACCACTACCCTTTTACGTGTTATTTATAATTACAGTCATAGTCAAGAATAGTTTGTGATCTCTTGGTCCCTTAATGTACCAACTCTCCTGTTTCTATCTAGTGTTCTAAATGTTTTTAGGTGTGATTTTCTCTCCTGTTTTCCTTTCCACTCCTTTGGGGCACTTTGTATTTTTTTTTGCTGGTATAGATATGACACTTTGAATATTTTTGTATATATAGCATTTTATTCTTGTTTTTAAAGTTTTTCCTTAAGGATTCTCAGCAGTGGGAATATTAGGTGAAAAAATATAGTTTTATAGCTTCTGTAAAGGCACATAAGGCAATGTAGTTTTATTGTGGGTTGGGTAAAATTGTTAGGTGTTTGAATTAGAAATAGTTTGGGAGCCCCTATTACTGAATTCACCTAGAGACCAGGGGGTCCCATTTTAAATAAACTTTGAAGTAAGTTAAATTTTAAAAAAAGGAATCTTATAAATGTTTGTTTAATACAATCTTATAAATAGGAACTAAGAGATTATCTAGTTCAACTCATCAAATGTGTGTGGATACACACACATGTCTGTTATACTCTAGATTTTGGAGGATCTTACAAAGTAATAAATAAACGTAGGGCCATATAGATTTCCAGAATGTTTTAAATGAGTACTGGGGAAGATAAGATAGCTTTCATGGAGATTCAGCTTTTGTGTGGCTCCAGGGAAAAGACTTTGAGTCAGGTAGATTTTAGGATTAGTGTAAAAGAAGTCTTTAAAAACTGACTCTAAAATGTGTCCAATAAATAACTCTTAAAAATAGCCAACAGGGCTTCCCCGGTGGCGCAGTGGTTGAGAGTCCGCCTGCCGATGCAGGGGACACGGGTTCGTGCCCCGGTCCGGGAAGATC